ACAGGCTTTGTCTTGCCTACCCAAACAGGGAGTGTAAGTATTCCCGTGGCAGTAACAGTGACTAAGCCTAGGGTGTAGTCACTATCTTGGTAACCTCTGGACTGAGCACACCTTGCTGAGAACACAGTTAGATGACATAGTGGTAAAAATATGTCAGTCATATCTGTGCCATGTCTTCAGGGGTAGAAACGAAGGTGCTTTGCAATGAATCATGTAAGTATGCTTACTTGCTAAGACATTTACCTTATGAATATACCTGTTTGTTTAATAGAAATAAGTTCTCAGGTAGAAGAAGGAGGTTTTAATCTTTTCTCCACCACTTAGGTAAGATCTGTTCACAACTTGGCTCTAATTATAAACAAATAGTATTATGTCACATGTAGCATGTGAATTCTCTGAACAGGCAGAGTCTTATCTAAATCTTTTAAAAATCTTGAACACTTCTTCCAATTATATCAGTGTTAATGTACCACCTTCTGGCCAGCTAATGGAAACACACGGACTGACCTTCAGGAGCTTTCCTGACCTGTGGCTCTCAAATGGGCTAAATCCAAAAGGCTCTTTTTCTGTTATAGTTCTGGGACCCATTCACTACCGTTGTGTTACACAAGAGAAGAACTCCACTCTTTTAAGTATGTAAAGAAGTATTTACTTCGATTTCTTTTTAGAGTAGCCATCTTAACTAAAAAAAAAACAACAAAGCAAGCTGTGTTTAAGTGATAAGCAGTGCTTTTGCTTGGAGTATGAAATGTTTTCTAGCTATGACTAGAAGAATTTTATTCCTTTTAAAAGTAACTGCCTCTAACACGTAATTCCTGCCTCATGTAAAGATGCAAAGTTTATTCAAGACACTAACAACCTTGTCCATTACTTGCATGAACTATGTCTAATTTGGAGTCTACTGTTCAAGTGATAAATTGGTATGAATTTGAGACACAGGCACACTTCAAAGCTATATATCTCTCTTTTCTGCAATGTTCTGGTGATTTTTTGATAGCCTGTGTGCTTGTTCTTGACTATAATTCTGTGTAGGAGTATTAGTACACTAACTTCTAAGTATTTACAGGCTAAAAACTAAGCAGTACATCTGGAAAGAATATTTCCTGAATATGGATATCTTCTGCACAAACCTAATTTATCAGTTTTGTGCACAATGTGTTACAGGTGCTTGGTTTTATCTTAAGACTAGCAAAATACATTCTGATTTCCTAGGCCACTGCATAGTAAAGACTGCAGAACATGTAAGGAACTTTTATAAACTGAGTTGCAGCCAAGATCTGTACAAGAGAAAGGGGAGTTCACTGTACACAGACTGTGAATTGCTGAAATATTTTTTCAGTTATTCCGTACCATATCTGACATGCTGGTGGTATGGAATTTTTTTTATGAACCAGAGTTTTAGCTATTCAATAAACATAACACAATAAAAATATTGAGTATTTTTAAATTAATTCATGCAAGAAGGTTCTTCTTAGTTGCAAACTAATTTTGTTATCTTGAACATTTTCTTTATTCGAGGAAGAGTGAAAGGGCTCTGATTGAATTAATTACTTTCTCTAGTTGAATAAAGATAAACAGAGAAGAGAAAAATAATTGATAGCTTCCTGCGTGGTGCAGTGAGACTTACAGCTGCAACTACCACTGTTCTGGCAGTGTGAAACCAGTGTCTTACTGGTCAGTTCAGTCTTTTTTATTGGGAAGATGCTCTTTTCCTTCTCCAAGCAGCAAGGGTGGTGTGAATGGAGGAGACACCAGGCAAATTATTCAGGGCAATGAAGCACTGTAAGCACAAACGCCTGAAATATAGTAATCCTTCTTTCCCATAAACACAGACTTCTGTGTAGAGAGGTAATTGTTAGAAAAATCAGAACATCAATGGAAAACAAAAACAATGGTCAACAAAAACTTCTAGGATCCTTTAGATAGTGTGTAGAGGACTGTCCTTTTCAACAGTTTTCTTGCAGTATGAAGGCTGCTGCAACCTAGCTGTGAGGGCTGAGTCATCATTTTCTTGTATTTAATCTTCAGTTTAGTATCTACATGATGGCTTACATTTAAAATGAAATATAGAAGTTCTTATAGAGACTTGTAGGGATAAATCAATGGAACCTAGATGAAATTTATTGTGTTTTAACTAGATCTGGAAGCTCCATGATATAATGCCTTTGTAGCTTCAGATGATTTAACTTCCTTTGACAATTAAACTTCTTTTAGGATTTATGATGAATTTGCAATAGTTAACCAAGTAACAGTCATTGTATTTAAGTAGCCACTAAGCCACTGCTGGGAACAGTCTGTGTAGTATTACTGTAGTATGGATTTGGAATGCAACTACTCTAGGTTTAAGCAGGCCAGATTTATGTGGCCTAAATTCAGACAACTGTGTTCAAAGAGATGTTGTGATTTGGCAGAGTATTATGAATTGAAAAGTTACCTAAGGATGAATCCATTCAACATGAACTGAGAAGTCAGTCAAGTGGGAGGAGAATGAATAAGAGCAAACCGCAGAGATCAGATCTGTGACTTCAGTCTTTCATCTTGCACCTTCTCCTGCTGCTTATTTAGTCTGTGGTGATTTTGAAATGTCTCTTAGCTGTGCCATAAAACCTAACTTTTGTACTTACAGTTCAACATGTTGGAGAACTAAATTGCTGTTAAATTTTTGCATGTGATGTGATGTGTTAAATAGCAAGAGTAGAGGGCACGGCCTGTATAAGCAGTCACCTCTTCTACATACCAGAACTTGCAGAGACACTCAAGAGTCGAGGAATGCTTACAAATCTGTCTTGCAACCTATTGCATGTGGGTGATCAAGAGGTTGTGGTTTAGCCAAATAGAAAAATGAAAAGATGATCCATTAAAGAGAAACCAAAGCCTTCTTTCCTTGTCAGAAGTAAATTATAATTGCAGGCAGAGAAGAGGTGGTCTGCTCTTGAGCAATCCAGATCTTATAAACACTGGAATTTTGGAAGTCCTAAAAGAAACAGGCAATGTTTTCCAGGAAATACCATAAAACCTTTGTTTCAAGGTGCTGCGTGCTGGACCAAAAGTTCTGGAAAGATGTGAGACAGCATAGGTGACATATTGTTGTGGATTGAGGATCAGAACAATGTCAGATTATTCTTCCTGGGTTCTTTATTACTTTCTCACTCAGGGTGTGATTGTGGATAATAGTCAGTTGGGTTGTTGTTCCCCCCTCCCCAATCTGTTTATAGCCTTGTGGCAATACTTTAGCAGATAAAGAATCCAGCACTGCACCTTGTGGTGTGACCAGTACAGGGGCTACAGAAAGGCACTGTGTAAAGCTGGGAGTGAGATGGCAGGGTAGAGAAGAAAATCTGAGAAACTGAGACAATGAAACTTCTTTTCATATACACTTTGCAATTCATGGGTAGTCTGTAAAAGCTATCTGTTCTTGTTATTGCTTTGTATTACTGTGGCTTGAAAAACAAATTGGTATCATTCACCTTCATATATGATTCTCAAGTGTAATAACCCTTAGAACTTGGTTGGTATGTTTTGTCCTCAGATCAGAAGGTTGGGTAAACTTACATATTGCTGGAATGAGAGGGCCAGAATATCGAGTTAGCCAAGACATTGTAATGAGCTCATGGCAGCACTTCGGCTAGCATGAATATTCCCTATTTCATATCCTAAATTAAGCTGAAATTAAAATTCAAATTGTCTGTTATGGTTGAGGCAGAATGGAAATCAAGCTCATCTCTTTTGGGAACTGGTGGCAATTTAAATAATGATTTAAAATAGTTTGTTGTTGTTGTTGCAGTAAATTATGCTCAAATCATAGGTGTACAGCTATACTACAGTGCTACATTTTACATTTACTTCTCACTTGTACTGAAGAACAGTGACTTGTGTAAAACATGGGATATCTGGGAGAAGCAAAAAGCACTTCCAGCCCTTCTGTATCATGTAAAGCAAACATGGTGCAGCTAGAGAGTATAATTTCATACTGACTGTTCATTTCTAGGAGCACTCTGATTCATTAGCTCAGTAGGAAGAAAGTGGGAAGAAAATAATTAAATTTCTTAACACTGAGAATTTGTGCTCATTTTGGAAAACACCTTATTACCACTACAACAATCCTGGGAAGAGCTGGCACTGAAATAACGCCCTGTGATACAGTTTTCTACAAAGTGTCTTGGCAGACAGAAAAATAGAGAGACTAGAAAAACAGAGACTAGAGAAATAGCAGACAAAGGTGCCTTGTCCTGAGAGAGGATAAGGACAACTTCTACAACACAAATCAAAAACATGTTTTCCTTATCCTAACATATATCCCTAGATCACAGCTTCTCCAAGAGATGTTTCAGAGACATCCAAGGACTGTCAGACTCTTGCACACTGGGTACAACAAAGAGTGTCTTTACTGAACACATCCTGGGGAAAAATCACACCTTTTACAGTGCCATCACCATACCCCATGTGCTTTTGTGGTAACGGCAAATGCACAGACAAGTATGTAGGGACAGATTGGAGATGAGCTCCCCCTCAATGTTCATTCCTCTTCCTACTGGATTATTCTCTAGAGCAAAGGGTATGGGGACAGAAGAGGGAAGAAAATGATAACAAGAGTGAGAAAACATTCCAGGCAAATAACAGAAGATAACTGTAGAGAAGAAATGCATCCTGAAAGTTTAGAGAGGGAAGTTTTAAAAAATCACCATGACGTGTGGTTTCTCCTTTAGGTCATTATGTTGGTCTGAGATCAGTACAATCAGTTCTATGATTCCTTTAATATTTCTTTCTGGAATCCTTCTCAGTGCTCAACTCTGTATCTTTTAATTAATTCTTGTCAGACTCCTCAGCATTTTAGCCAAGTCTTTTGACTATCTTATCTATTTGAGTATCCTGAGTATTCTTGCCCAACATTTAAATAGCCTTCCTTGAGTGTGCAGACTCTGGAGGTTTTTATGTGGAGAGAAATAGGTAACTTCAGAATAATTATCTGAAATTTTCTCCCCTCCCCTCTTTTTTTAAAGACAATTCCTCATCTCTCCAGGAAGATGAAGAGATAGATATGGAGGCTGTCAACTGGCAGCTGAACAGCACCTCCATGAATGGCCATTCATCTACCCCAACCACAGCTCGCTTTCCCAGCTGGGTGACTTTTGATGACAATGAAGTCAGTTTTTCACCACAGAGCCTTTCTCCCTTGAAAACAGATACCCCATCCACAGAAACACAGGCTCCAGATGTTAACTTTAATCACACTACATCCTTAAAGAAAAGAGAACGTCCTAAAAGCACATTGGGAGACCTCTCCAAAATTCAAAAACTAGATCTCTCCTCTTTAACAAAGTTGCCTTCTGTTGAAACACCACCGTGGAGTGCTACTAATCCCTTTCTGGATGAATCTCTTCGAGATGTCCAACCCTCACCCATCAATCCATTCAGCTCATTCTTTGAGGAGCGAGAGAGGCGTTCCAAAAGTTCTTCTGTCTCCAGTGCTCCAGGCAAAAGCCAAAGAGATTCTCTCATTCTTCTCCACCAAGAGCCTGATACCATCAGTTTTCATGAGGCAAACAAAACTGTAACCCACACAGATGCTGTAGAGCAGCTCAAACAGCTCCAGATTGGAGACCCAGATCGTGTGAGCAGTCCTACCTTGCCTGATGATGACCCAATGATGCCGTATGATCTGGATGCAGCTTTATTTAACCTGGCACCAGCTCAGCCAAAGGATGGATGGCCAATGATGCTGAGGATCCCAGAGAAGAAGAACATTATGTCATCTAGGCACTGGGGACCAATATATGTCAAGCTGACCGACAGTGGGTGTATACAGCTTTTTTATGAGAAGGGACTAGAGAAGCCTTTTCGGGAACTCAAACTTGAAATCAATCATGAGATTTCAGAGCGCAAGCTGCAGAACTACGATGAGAATGGACGGATACACAGCGTGCGGTTGGACCGCACGACGTACAAGGAGAAAAAGAAGTATCAGCCTAAGCCTGCCATTGCACACACTGCTGAGAGAGAGCAAATTATCAAGCTTGGGACTACAGATTATGAAGACTTCCTTAGCTTCATCACTGCTGTGCAAGACACACTGATGAACTTGCCAGCTTCATCAACAGATCTGAGCACAGTGGGACTGAATTATCAAGAAGAAGAAATCACTGTGGATGTCAGAGATGAGTTTCATGGCATCTTGGCCAAGGGAGATAGTGTGATTCTCCAGCACAGTGTGCTGACTCATATCTATGTTCTCAGCTTCCTTTCTGGTCTGGCAGAATGCAGACTGGGTCTTAATGATATCCTGATTAAAGGGAATGAAATAGTTGCAAGGCAGGATATTATGCCCACTACTACCACTAAGTGGATTAAATTATACAGCTGCCGGTTCCATTCATGTGTGGATGAGGATATGTTTAATAACTCCCGTATTATCCTGTTCAACCCCTTGGATGCCTGTCGGTTTGAACTGATGAGATTCAGGACTGTCTTTGCTGAGAAAACTTTACCTTTTACTCTGAGGACAGCTGCCAGCATCAATGGTGCTGAGGTGGAGGTGCAGAGCTGGCTGATGATGTCCACGGGGTTCTCTTCCAATCATGACCCTTTAACTCAGGTCCCTTGTGAAAACGTGATGATCCGCTACCCCGTGCCAAGTGAGTGGGTGAAGAACTTCCGCAGGGAGAGTGTCCTGGGGGAGAAATCTTTGAAAGCCAAGGTGAACAAGGGAGCCACTTTTGGATCAACCAGTCTGTCTGGTTCTGAGCCAGTAATGAGAGTAACTTTGGGAACTGCCAAATACGAGCATGCCTTTAATTCCATTGTATGGAGGATAAACCGACTGCCTGACAAAAACTCAGGTGAGTGGCACATACCATCTCTGCAGGAATAAACTAAAACAAGTTATGTATTTTGAAAGATAGGAAATACTGAGTTTAAATGGTGAGAGATATATCATCCTCTGTAGTATACCAAAGGGCATTAGTTAGTTGCACAAAATATTTTTCTGACCCTCAGTGTAATAGTTTTACATATACTACAAATATAGCTAATGATAAAAACAGTTTTAGGTTTTCTAGATGCAAAAATATGTATTCTGTCTCTGCTTGAAGGTATTTAAAAGAGGTAGTTCTTAGGGAAATGGTTTAGTGGTAGACTAGAATTGTGCTAGGTTAATGGTTGGATTTGATGATCTTAAATATCTTTTCCAATAAATGATTCTGTGATTCTGTGATTATGAAACCTAGGCATCAAACATCTGTGTGCTCAGTACTGTTATTGGAAGCAGGGCTTTTTCACGTAACTTGCAAAAGCAAGATTCTGTGCTATGGGACTGAATGACAGAATCAGATAAATGTGCTCCAGCACATGTGGTATATTTTCCATGCATTGCCAAGCATACTGGGCCAGTGCTATATATTTCAGTGCATATGCCACAATTAATGCCTCTGAATTATCTGCAATGGGAGTTATAAGAGAACAGAAGACATTGCTCAACCATTTAAAAAAATAGACATTTCCAAACATCATTTTTTGGCTATGTTTCTTTAATCAGTGCAGACAGAGAATTACAGCTTAAACCTGAAGAGAGAATACCAACATGAAACCCACTTTATATTTCTATCCCAAATTTTTGTATTTCTAGTAACATGGTCATAATTAAACATTAAAATAATGTAGGCAAGCTACTGTTCCCTTTGGCCATTTCTGCCAGTTATTGTGTTTGCTGCCTGTCATCCATGGTTCACTGTAAAGCTGGGCAACTCAGGTTTATTTTTATTTGTAGTGAATTCTACTTCTTGACCTCTCTGATCTAGAATAGCTTCTTACAATGAGATGGACTTTTCAGAACTAATGCTGTAATAATGCATCTGGGTGACTGGGAGGGTTTCTGTATTCAGTGTTCCCTGAAGGAAAGTTCATTGTGGTACCAGATTTGGCACTCTCTATATGTTTTTCCTGAGTTTGACTTAGAGTGTCAGCAAAACAGTAACCCAGGTGTCCTGATCTTTTGGGTCACATTTCAGCCCAAGAACACTAGTTTACACCACCAGTTACATATTTGGAGGGATATCAGTGGAAAAGGGAAAGCTCCAGGTTTCCTGTAGACTGAGTGTAAGAAGACAGAGCTTGGAAATTTGAGAGAAATATAGCAATGAAAAATTAACCCCAGGCTGTTTATGAGCAATGCTTGTGAGGAAAATCTCAGTGTGCCATCTGCACGAGCTCCGGGAATGAGATGCTGTGAAATTGGGCCTTCTGTGGCATCTTCTCTCCGAAGATCCCAATGTACCATATAGACATCAGCCCTCAGAAAGCCCTCAGACTTTAACACAATCACAGAACATGCCAGTAGCAAACCAGGAGAAGAGGCAAAACTCCTGTCTCTACTTCCTCCTGCAAGGTGATGCTGCCTTACCCATTGCTACTCTGAGGGAGATACTGATCTGTGCCTCTTGTTTCCTTCTTTCCCATTGTGAATCTTTATTGTATATACACTGTGACAGGGGAAGGAAATACATTACAGATTTGTTGCTGCTTTTGGACTCCTGCCACAGAGCATCTATCCATCAGTGTCATCATGCAAAACACAGGGCAGTTGGTATTTGTTTACATCCTGCGAGGAAGAGAGTGTCCTCACCCCTCCGGTCAGATCAGATGTAATTTCAGGGAAAGGAAGAGCCTTGGAAGCACTGTCTTGGCCAGGACACATGAGGTATGTGAGAGGGAGGGAATCCCAAAGTGATGACAGGGCAGGCCAAGTGTAGTTTAAATCTGACCTTGCCCTTCAGGGACTATTTCTGTTTATTGGTGGTACTTCAGCCCATGGTTCTCCTTTCTCAAAGTATATGGCAAACAAAGAGTGGTACTCAGAAGCATTCATTCCCACACCTCCTTAGATTTGCCTGATAGACATGATATGCTTTTGGCCAAGTGATACTCATGTGGGATCTAACTGCCAGCCTTGTGCACGTTTGGCTGTATCCAGCCCTATCCACAAGTCATATAATAACCCAGCTTCATGTATTTGCAAAGTTGTTATAAATGATTCAGTTCTCAAAACATACATAAAACTCTTACATAAAACTACTCCACTGACTCACACTTCATACTCCCTTACTGTGATACCTGTAACTCATCTCTAAGAGCACTGCAAATATCTGGCCTGCTAAAGAACTGCTTTTATGCCTGGGACTCCAGAGCAGGAGAGGAGTAGTGGCATCATATTGGAGCTGAGGCAAGTGCTGCAGGTGGCCACAGTGTGCAGCTCCACCTGCCTCCAGAGGCCACACAATAGGTCCACACCACTTGGAGCATATGCATTGCATGGGTGCTCCAGCACTTGTGCCTGTCTGCCAGACATACTCACAGGAGTACATATGTAGGCACATATTTTGGGACTTTTTGTTCATCCAGTGTGTGTGCTCTGACACACAGTCCCTTGCAAACACAATCCCAGAACTCCAGAGGTCTCCAGATAGCCAGCTGGACCTCCTGTGCTTCGCTCCATTCTCTGAATGTGGACTGGTGCAGTCTCTGTGTAGAGGTAAGGGGCATGACCCCCAGCCCTGCCATCCACAGGAGAGCGTGTCCCTACTGAGCTCACTGCTTGTATGAAGGTTGTAGCATCCTGAGCACCCAGATTGTTAAGAATTATTTCAGCAGTTTGCATTCTTATCTAATTTTTTCTTTCTGTACTTTCTAATTGGATGGAGCCCTTTGCACTCTCACTCTAGGAGACAGCTTTATCAGCACTGTCTGTGTTATTTTGTAGCCACAGTATCTGCTTATGACTGAACATTGAAAAGCATGTGACCAATGAAGGACGGTGCATACTCTGACTATGATTTGACCTAAGGAAAAATGTAGATTGCATTCTACTGAGCACATTGCTGAAATCCAAATAGCAAATTTTACAGCTTGGTAAACTTTATTGTCTGTCTCATATTTAAAATTAATATGAACAAAAGAGTTGATGAAGAATGCCTGTTTGCAGGCTATTTACAGCTCCAGTTGCTGCTGGCTGGGCTTCACATACTCTTTTTTTTTTTTTTAATTTAATCCACCAGTAGGGAAACATCCAATTAGTCTTTGATCGTGGGAAAACGCTCATTCTTATGAAGCAGGGATGTAACATCTATGCAGAGCCTTGGATCTGGATTTGAACTTTTCTCTAGTTTGGCTGTGGATCTCAGGCATGCTGCCTGGAATACTTTCTGAAGTAAATTATATCTTTTAACCCAAACGTTGGGATATTTGGAGTGTCATGAGTCATTTGGAACAGATTCTCTCCAATCACAGTTACACTTGCATATATATGAATTACCAGATTTTTGATTGTCAGAACAGACTGGTAGTAGATCAAGGAAATAAGAGGTGCAAAACAAACGCAATGTGTTGATTCCTCCTGATTTTACTACGAAAGGTACCTGTCCATTAGAGAAAGAGCTCTGAATGAGCCTGTTGATCAGTCTGTAGAGGTGGTGCCTTGTGAGCCTCATGCTCAGGACAGTAATGAACACTGATGGCCTAGGTAGTTTTGCAGTAGCTTCAGTGAAGGGGTTGCTTTCTTAATCTGTTTGCCTTGTTATCTACCACACTGAGCTGGTTTAAATTAATAACTTCCATAATTTTTATGCCTTTGGGTGGGGGTGTTACCAAATGTCCAGTGGAAATTATGAAAAGTGTAAAAGCTCAAATCTCCAAAGTACCTGGCATGCAGTGTGCTCAGACCCAATTAAACACTTACCAGTGATACCTTCACCCATCTCCACCTCAAAAGCAGCTGAGCATGTGCCAGTTCAGGAGTGTTGCAGCACAAGCTGAACGTTCTGCAGCTGTGGATGTGGCTTGCACCAGAGCACAGAGCCATTCCTGGGCTGCTGGTGTTCTCCAGTCGAAGGAGGGAACAACCCACAACAAACTAGAGAGGAAAAGCATAACAAAGCAGATGAGCAGGAAGGATTATAATGTGGAGTCTGCTGAGAGTGGTACAGTGTGAGGAAAGAGATATGAATGGATGAGGAGCCTGAGACTGGGAATTCATTTCCACTACTGAGTGCTGAACGCAGATTTTTGGAGCCAGTTTAAGGCATCTTCATAATGCAGTGCTAGAGAGCAGTGCTGTGTCACCCAAGGGTCCGGTGGCAGATGCTGAATTGTGCTGCCACCACGGCTGTGCCCACCATAGCCCAGCTCAAGAACTGGCCAGAAGCAAAAGCTGGGTGCTGAAGGAAACCCAGATCTCCCTGAGAGCTCCTGAAGCTGCTGCTCTCCTGTGGTGGGTGGGACCACCAGGAAGGCCTCCTGTGCACCACAGCTTTTGATCCAGAAAAAGCATGTCCACGGATGAAAAGCCAGGCAGGGCTGTCAAACAGAGATCCTGGCTTGCTCTAGAACCAGGGCAAACGAGTCAGTACTTTGCTTGGGATAATTAATCCTGATGAAAAGCAGATGTATTTTAATGCTTGCAGAACTTGAGCTTCTATATCTGCTTGGTACTGCACCCATTCATTCGTAACTTGGCTCCACCTATGGTGCTGCATATCGCTGGTCTCTGTTGAACTGCACAGCCCCTCACTGGATTTGCTGCACACACATTAATTTACAAACCTTCCAGCAGTGAGGGAACTGGCTAGACTGTTTTGAAATATGAGGCTGACTCTAGATGAAATTCTTACCCAGACTTATACCGAGTAGAATTTCTTTTCCAGATCTATTTCAGAGGTCAAGTGGAATGTTGCAATGTCTAAGCCCTTTAGAGACTGCCTGATTTCATCCTATTGCAACCAGTCATACTTCAAAATCCTACATCTTGCTTTTCAGGCTTCAGTTTAACAAGGCTGACTTTGGGTTAAGCAGGTATATTCCTGCTTTTCCCAGTGGGAGCTTCTGGGCTTTCCCCACCCAGTTCTCTTTACTCTGCCTGCCTTCCTCCTTCCTTGTCTCTGTCCTGTACACCTTGCTGATCTATATGGAGAAGAACTTTCCTAGTGAACAAGTATTCAGGAATCCTAAAGCCTTATAATAAAGGCAGGCAAGGTTTCCATTCATTTACTTATGCATTCATTTACACATACACAGATAATAGGATCCTTTCAATTGGAAAGCCCTGTGTAGCTGTGAGGCCTTCATCCTCATTTTGCAAATAGAGAAACTGAGGCAGAGACATTAAATTACTTGCTCAAGAATTTAAGGAGTTGGCAGCAGTCACAGAAAAAGCCAACTTAGTTTGACTAGACATCCATACTTTAGTTTTTAGACATCACTGCTGTCCAGCAAAACAAAGACGAAAAAGTAATAAGGGTAATTTACATATGTCAGAGCTAAACATTACCTCTTTTTCTTGCCATCCTTAATGACCAGCCACCTTGTCATGAATTCGAGTGAGGAATAAATGGTTATTCTGAAGCTTTGCACAAATTTGCTTCTTGAACACGGAAAAGTTATTTAACCTTATCCAGTAAATTTTCTTCTGCTGAAAAGGGGAATAACAATTTCAAATCAACATCAAATAATTCCAAATTCCTCCTTTCCTTACTATAATTTCATAACATTTCAGCAGGATGTGCCACGATGTACTTAGCATGTGACAGATACTGAGGGAGCCAAGACGACAAATACCTTTACCCTACTGTGCTTGATTTACTTCTTTTATATATATATATATATACACACCCACTAAAAGCAAACTAGAGTGATTAGCAATCCTTTTTGCATTTTTTTAAATTCCTTTGGTAACTTCAACCACATTGAAGCAGGTAAGACACTTGCTATGAACTAGTTCACTTAGGGAGATTCTCAGTTTCCTGCAGCTTCGTGATGCTTCTTTCTCCTAGGTGTGGTGCTTTGATTCATCTGACACAACTCTCACAACTGTTTACTCTCTTTTTCCAGCTTCTGGCCATCCTCACTGCTTTTTCTGTCACCTAGAGCTTGGCTCTGACCGGGAAGTGCCTTCCAGTTTTGTCCGCTATGTAGATGTGGAATTTGACATGCCCACCACTTCGGCGTCCAAAGCCGCTGTTCGCTCCATCTCTGTCGAGGACAAGACCGATGTGAGGAAGTGGGTCAACTATTCAGCACACTACAGCTACAAGGTAAAACTGAGCAGTGCTAATCACCATGGTTACTTTGCATGCTTCATGGTCTTGAAAATTATGGGCAGACAAATGAAATACCATGGACAAAAGAGGTGTGAATTTGGCACATGCCAGGCTCTGTGTAGTCGCTACCCATGTGCAGCTATTGGTTCATGGCAAACATGCAGTGGATTATCCCTCAGCAAAGATGGAATAAATTTGCTTGCAGTTGCCTATGGAAGAGCGTGCACACAGCTCTTGGGGATTACCTGATAGGGAGAGTTTGAACAAGGAGTTTTGCTGCTCTTCATAGTGGGAATGCTACTGTGGGAGTCCTAGTGCAGTCCACTTAAATATTTCTTCCTTCTACCTGCCCTAAGGAGAGGAGCAGATAGGAAAGTCCACTATGTATATTCCTGCCAAAATATCTCAGTAAATTTGCATGTTAGCTGAATACTCAGCAGAGAAATTGGCATCCTACCTTGCCTTCTTTGAGTGCAATGATAACAGATTCTGAAAAGACTCTCATGGCAAATATTTTTACTGGTAGTTGTAATTATACTTATAGTAGTTTCTTAAATTCCCTGAAGACAGTATTTGATCTTCCTAAGTATCCCTTTTGAGAATTAAAACATTGGATTATTCCTGAGTTTTTGGAGATGTGGAGACTTAGAACCCAAACATAGATCCCCTTGGCCCTGACCTAATACAAATTGATATCTGTAGGCCAAAACACTTCTGAGCCTGAGGACAGCAGGGAGTGTGCTGATATTTGGGGTAGTGTTAGGCACTGCTTCAAGAAGCAGGGAGTTGGATTTGATAATCTGTATAGGTCCCTTCAAACTCAAAAATCATTTAAAAAAAGTCTTTGTTTTATACATCAGTCTTCGCAGACTTTATAATTAAGGCTGGTTTTCTGCTGTCACATAGGAAGCCACCTATTATCTGCAGATTTGGTTCTGGGTTTGTATTCAGGGTACATCTGGGAATGGTAATGAATATAAAATCATGTGAGTTCTCTGCATGACATCTCTTCTAGAAATTATTTCATGACACTGCTGAATTGTAGAACAGCTTAGATTAGACTGAAAATCCTTATAGTAAATACGTAAGTAAAATAAAATTTTCCCTAATCCTCAGTCTGTTTTTCCACACAACCCTTTCAGTTCACCAAGAGTTTCTTCACCTGAGGTCAAGAGCCACCACGGAGGAAGATTTGTGAATCTTTTGATTTCCTTTCTCATTAAAAATTTTCTTCCTCTTTTTCTTCTACCAGGTTGAAATAGAGCAGAAAAAAAGCTTGAATGAGGATCTGAAGGGAGAAAGCACTGCAAATGTCAATGAATGTGCTACACAGTAAAGGAAGATTAGTCTGCAAGTCCCAATAGGGGTGGTCAAATTAACAAATCTGGAAGAAAGGACTTGCAGGGGTTGGGTATTTATCTTTCAAAACATTCGGGACTACTACTTTTAAAATAATGCTCTGAAGAGTATAATTTTTTTCTTTGTGATAACCCATACTTTGAGAAGAATGTGGTCAGTGGCTTCTTTGGAGGGGATCCACGGGCTTTTGCTGGAACAGTATAAGTACAGTTGTACAGTCAAGCCTGCCTTCTCATCATTTAGGTTCTGCACTCAAGTATGGTCTGGCAACCATCGCAGCCACACCAGAAAACAGCCTTTATCTCACAGTCTTGCCCTGCCTCATTAAGAAGTTTGTTTCAATGCCATTTGGCTTGGCCATTGACTGAATTGCATCCTTCTGAACTGCCAAATAAAAATTCAGGGAGGATCAAGTGAAAAATTATATAAAATCTCCTTTCTGAAATGGTCCACAGAGTGAAAATCCTGAGCATCATTCTGGAGAATCAACACACTCTGCGCCTTAAACAAAGAGAATGGTCTCTGTGTTTAAGTAGATGAACTGCAGACAGGACAGCTGATCACAGAGCTGTTCCTCTGTTCAGTCCTTCCTGTCTCATCCCTCAAATGACAACATGTCACTGTGCACGTTTTCACGGGGTTTGCACAAGTACAAGAAAGCCTCTGCAATTTCTTAAAATTTTTACTTTGTAGTCTGAGCCGTTCTGGTATCTTGACTGAACGTGGTCGTGGCTGCTAGCAATAGAGAATGTGTGTTACAGCAGTGGAGATACCAGAAGGACTTTGCTGAGATTAGATCATTCCTGCCTAGAAAGATACTAAAGGGAAAAACATGGGGGTTTAGTTTTGGGTTTGGGTTTTTTGTATGTTCTCTTGGATGGGTAAAAGGGTGGTTATTGAAAATGTCAGAACACAATTACTTTGACAATGTTGTTTGTTTTCCTGAAATTCCTTGGAAGTCTGTCCAGCACAGTATTATTTTCATGTTCTTTCTTGAACCTACAATATAAGTAATTTGTATTTTTATAATACTTCCATTAACTGGGCCCCAAAATCTCTTTTTAAAATTAACAAGCTTCTATCATGGAGATTTTTTATCCTCACTTAGGTGGAAGTAATAGCAAGTCTTAAAACCTCATTCTAAATAAAAATGCAGAAGACATAAATCACTCATTTACACATATTTTCCGAGAAAACAGTGTTAAAAATACCCATTTTTAGTTGTTTCTATGGCTTATGTAATATTTTGTCTCGTAACATTAAATGTAAAGTAAGTAATTTATTAAATCATTTATCTTTTGAAAGGTTACTACTGACTATAAAATACACATTTGGAAAACTTTGGCAATGTAATTTAATATCATGATGAATTAAAATGAAAGCTTTTTTATACATGTATTTCATTCTACATTTAATATAAAAAATTAATACACTCTTGATTTAACCCTGCGACTCCTATAAAAATTATTACAATGTTAAAATCCCAAATAAATAATGAAATTAATTTCATTGAGTCTGACACTGGTAGTGGAAGAATTTAAAATAAATTGTAGGGAACTTAAAAATGTCTTTTTTATGTGCACCTACAGTTCAAGCCTGCATCACCCTAGTGACACATACTTACACAGGTGCACCACTGTGAATATGTAAAATCTCAGTCCTTCTAGGACTTTCTAACAAGCCTATAATACTCCACTACAAGTAGCCCTTCTGGGCCTAGGATGCTCCCTGGAGCACACCAGTTAATAGTAAGCATTTGCAATATCTCTCTGTAAATGGAAGAATGCTGTTAACTTTTATGAAGAATTTTGAGATCAGTGGATTAAAATTTCTGATATTATTAGTGGTAATTTGTATAGGTTGTGAAATATCTGGGAGCATGGGGCTGAATTTGTGACTGACTCTCAGCTCTGGCACAGGCTGGCTGGGATGAGTTGCATGGCAACTCCTCTACAAAATTCACTCCTGTTCAAAGGCATTCCTGTCAAAGGATTTCTGGGTGGTCTTCCTGCTTTTCACTGCAGCTCCTAATGTACAGTTTCTGAAACCCACCATCAAGAAATTAAAAAAAAACAAAGCAAGCTGAAGCAATGCTGAGATGTTACTGAGGAAATGTGTCAATGTTTTGTGAAAGAAACGAAGAATTTCTACTCTGACCTGCAGGCTCAGTGTCTGATTTTTTTGCCTATTGCCCCTCAGCTCATGGAAACACAAATAAGTAATACAAGTTAGCAAAGTTATGTTGTACACCTTAAGAGGGGAGAAAATAAAAGGAATATAATTTTCCATCACTGTTGAATTGTTAAACTGTTCAGCCGCTATCATATTTGTGCCACAGAACATTCTGTGTTCCAGTAACTGAAAGATGAATATATTGGAGGTCTATGGATTTCATTTCTTTACCACTTCATCGCTGATCTTTTTTTTTTTTTTTTTAATTTAGAATCAATAAATGAAAAACCTGACTCTTATCTTTCTTGTGTAGTTGTACACAGAAGTACTTCTTCCAGTCATCATGAATTTCTTCAGGCAAAACTGGAAAAGTGTTCTGGTTTATATGAAAGCTATTTTAATCCAGTCTCATCTCCAGAGAGTGTTTTTAGAGGTACCTGCCACTGAATTTTCAAGAATTTAGGATTAATACCTCAGCCAGAATTTCAGAAGATCTTATTTGCTTATTTCCTAAGGACTGTAGTAAGTAGTTTGAATTTTCGAAAGACTGCTAATAACCAAAATCTTTATAAAGTCTATTGTTGGTATCACCAGGTGTCTCAACTGAATTCTTTTTTCAGTCCAGCACCATTACGATCATTGAGAATTTGAACACTGGGATCCTAAGTGCCCTTACTGAGGTCTCCACTGTTTTTTATTGATTAAATAGTGCCAATTTTTCAGTGTTACACACTGCCACATATGTACTTTACATATACTCTTCACCCATGTGAGTATAGTAGTAGTTTGAACAGACTTTTGATTGGAGTGAAGGGAAAAGATCTGAGAAGTTTGTGAGTTTGAAAGTAGCAGAAATTATTTAGATACAAGCAGTGCCTGTAGTGGGGGTGATTTTTTTTTTTTACGCATGTGGAAAAATCTCTCTGACTAGTTTCAGATTACTACTTCCTTTAAGAAAGATGCAGTCATTGTCCTTTGATATATTTGAAAGCTTTGTAGTACTCAAACACTTCATGCAGGAAATGTGCCTTCAAGGTAAGCATATGTTTACTCCCTGAAGCAATTCTCACTTTCAGTCCTCTTTCTATTTCTCATTATGGTTTTATTATTTGTACTGTGGTAAGACTTGAGGCATTGTATGGAGAATTTTGCCTAGAAACATAAAGTGTCTTTGATCACAAGGGGTAAAGATGAGCAATATCTCCAGGCAGCTGAGCTTATTTTAGTTAATGTCTCTTACATTTATTAACTATCAACACTCTGCTAAAAAATGAAAATGACTGAATTCAGCTGAGAAATACTAAAACTGACTGATGTTATTTTTGTGTAGATTTAAATTTAGTCATCCTATGAAGGAGTCAGAAACAGAAGTGTCATTATAAACACTGCAGAAATAATTTTCCTTCTCTGGTGGGTTGCTGGCTGACAGTTACTTGATAGGATGTCCAACACCTGTCCACATTATTTAGTAGCTGATAAATCTTCCTCTTGAACAGTCACCTCCCAGGATAGAGAGCAATTGGGTGCAAAAGAGCATGAAAGCAAGTGAAAAAGCTGTATAAAATTCAGCCTGGAGGTGCTTACTTTTTTGCTTGCATAGAATTCTCAGTAATTTCTTTGGCCCTTCAGTACACTAATCAAGTCCTTGATAGGTCACCTGTGTTACAGATGGTGAAAAATCTCTTTCAGCGACTCTTAGCAGTTGGTGTGCATAGCTGTATTAATCTCTAGAACAGACCAGGACCAGAATTGGCAGCACGCAGAGATCACTTATGGATTAAGTACTTACCTTCTTCTGCCACTGAAATTAAATCTGCATCGACTTGTCTAAGATACAAAATTTTGTGTGGTAACATGCACAGCTGTTGCTAATGTTCCTGCTTTGTTCAGTCAGCCAGCCACCCCCCACACATTCAGCCATCCATCCTCCCATCCGTCCTACCTCCCCTCCCTCTCTCTCTCTTGCATACTTGCAGTTCATTCTTTGCACTATTGACATTGATTGGTTTAATTACTATTTTGTAACATGTTCCTACCTTCTTATTTTGTAAAAATAAGTAAGTCTATACACTGGCAAACTTCGTAGAAGCGGTTTATTGTTTTTCTTTATATCAGTTGAAATGGAATGTCATGTTTTGTTTAAACTATGTGAAAATTTAAATAAATGTTAAGATGAAACAGCATATCCACATTTTCACTGTGAAATTGAAGTTGTATGTGCTATATATTCTCATAAATCAGAGGTTCTTGAATTCAGAAGAGGAAAGGGAATAGTTTGAATAAGGGACAACATAAATTAGAAGTAATGGGACTACATACAGAAAAGAGATTACTTAATTTCATCATGCAGATTGAACAGTAGACTGCAAAGGAAATGGAGCAGGCCTAGAGCTTGAGCCACATAACAGTTTGAAGTAGTACTAACATAATATGGAAGATGGCCCAGCATTTGAACAAATCCATCCTGAAACAAAGTAATTGAGGATTGAACTTCTGCTCAGTGGTCTCTTCTTTGACCACTAAAACCAGGAGTACATGAAACTTCCTGTATCTTCCTATGATCAGAACATCTGTTTGCAAAGCAAATGTAAGGTCTAAACTACATAGAGTCCATGCTGATTTTCTGTGTTCTTTCAAAGTTCAGTAAGCCATGTGTCATTTCATACATCTTTCCACTTTTCTCAGAGTCACTGAGACACACTTCAGTCTTGTTTTTCCCAGAAGCATTCCTTGTATCAGACTGAGGAGCTGGGCACTTCTCTTGGCCAAATAAAATCAGATACTCATAATTGCTGTTCAGAGTATTCCTCTGAGATCAATACAACTGACAGTAAATCAACCATTTTACAGTATGAGAAAATGGAGGTACACAAGGTACAATGCCTCATATTTGTTATTTAAGAGTAAAATCAGGTCAGCCAGAAGAAACAAGGAAAGTTAACATTCAGGGGCTGTTAGTACTAACACTAATATGCATAGTACTAACTAATATGCATAATGTTCTTAAAAAGAAAGACTTAGAGAAAAAAACTGAAATTTTAAAACAAAGGAGCTCAAAGTTCCTTGGCAATAGTGTAATGCTTAGAGATAAGCCAAAATAACACCCTACAAGAGATGGGGAAGTCAAGAGCACCAGTGCAATGTGTACCCAAACAAAAAACATTACTAGAGTGAGACAGCACAATTTGGAGAGGAAAAAGCCAGTTTTCTTTCAGTACTCTTAGTTGCCCTGACTAATCCAGATATGTTGTAAATTTTTAAGACAAAAAGTACTGAAGGTCAGCTGGAGATAAAGCAAAAGATGGAGGAGCAACCCACTGTTTCAGCTTAGGTGCAGGTGTGGGTCACAGCAGATGTGTCTGAAAAATGAAGTGCACCAGTCCCAGAAAAAATTATTGTCCTTTTGGTCACAGTATCAGAAGCCCAACAGCAACTAACTGCTGTATATAAAAAAGTAATTGAAATAATATTTTATACACTAGCTATGAAAGGTGCCTTTCTCAACTCTGAATAATAGGACAGCAAAGCCTCTAATGGACAGGGGTGAGAGCAGTACTGCCTTCAGTAGCACTGGGGTACTTCAACGAGTGGCAGACATGCTGGGGTTCAGGTGGTCTGGGCAGACTGGTCCTCCCCTGGTTGGGGGCCTTCTGCAGACTCCCAGTTGTTATTACCCCAGGGACTGTAGATAAACTGGGAGCAGTCAGCTCAGCCCAAAGAGCTTCTAAAGGAAAAGGCTGAATACAGGCTGAATACAGCTGAAAGTAACTTCTTAAATTGGGAGCCTCTTTTGTAAAGGTTTTCCTAATGCAGGACTGAAAAGGAGACTTCAGCTCCTCTGTGGAAGGGAACAAATTTGTTAGGGCATGGGCAGTTCAGCAATTGTACTAAAACAGAGAGTACTCAGATTGAAAGGGAATGAAGTGAGAAAACCTCGTGTCAGTGCTGAGATGCAGGCAGAGTAGCAGATAAAGCATGATGAAATTGTGACTTGACTGACATTGCTGCTTAGCAAATTGAGTCCATGGTATCAGTCCTCCCTGGAGAAGTGAACCACAGATTGGAACAAGGCATTTGCATGTGTGCTCACACTCCATGAGTTCTCAGAAGTGAAGGGACTCTTGCTCTCTAGTGGTCACTGCCAGGTTCTTGCCTGGATTATTGACCTGCTGCACCAAGCAGCCTCAATGAA